TCACAAAACTCAATCGAGCAGTTAAATTTTTCATGGCCAACGCTTACATTGCATGAGAGTAAAGTACACGGGCTTGCTTTGGATAAAACAATTCGGTTTCTGTTGCGCAAATTAATTCAGAAAGCACAAATTTGAAACAGCTAACATTTAATTCCATTACTATTACTAACCTCTCTTATTTATAGTACCTTAATTGAGTCTTGAAAACGTCGCTGGAATGCCTTAAAATGGAAGGAAAATTTACTGGATTCCTACTTCTGAATGCCATAAATTTAAATTTCAAATTATGTTGAAGTCCCCTAGAGAATCGGTTTTCAAGGGCCCTTTCAATTGATTAGAGACAAATAATGTACCATTATAGGAGGACGGAAAATAGAGTTGGGTGTGTGACATTTATGAATTTTAATTTGCCCATAGAAGACAGGAACAAACTTCCTACTTCAAGTCCCATACAACGATTTCTTGGTGTGTCGAGACAGAACTACAATGTCGCCACTTTGTGGTGCTGCACCTATCGCAATGGTTAGACGACAAACCAATAAATACCTTACTCCCCCCATCCCCATGAAGAGCCAATGCGATCATAGATGTGGCAATAACTACTAGCTACCGCGTCACAGCAATGACTCCCACTTTCATGTCTGTAATAACTTTCTAAAGAACAATGCCAAGGTGTTTTACATGAAGTATTGGGTTCACTAAGAATGTTAATCATGGATATTAGCTTTAAAAGGATAATGTGATTTTGACAAATCTATCTAATGGCCTTTGAAGCTCGATGATTCGGCAGTCGGTTCACCACGCAAAAGACGCACTACTGATAAACAAACGACGCTTCTGTTAGGGTGTGCCATGTGCTACCTCAAAGGTGACCGGAAAGGGTAAATATATAGCTCTCAAAGTAAAGCTTAATTACATTGTGGTAAGTAAAAGGCCAGCCTCGACTGTTACGAAAGAGAAAATAATTCTACAGATAGGGAGAAGTTATTATTCCCTGAAATTTGTAAAAGTACTGATAAATCTAAACATAAAAAATGGACGAGTGAATCACACAAGCAATAAATAATGCAGGAAACATTGTATGGATTATCCTTCATTAATTCGGAGCTATTTTAAAAGGTACAGCATCGAAAATAGCTTTATCTGTCGTTAAAGTATTCATAAAGCAACCTTGGGGTGATATTTTAATTTCATGGAACATTATTTAAGCAGCACCACTAGTACATTCCCATGAACACGAGTAAGTGGGATAACGACCATTCTGATTCCCTTTCCTTTGTTGAGCATGATAATACGACTAACTGATATTCGTTCAACTCTTCGTTCCGATTTCACGCGGACATCAGACCGTGCCTTTCCACTTCCGCAATGCGACGTGACCTTCAAGATGGGTGTTCCATTTGAATTTTCAATTGCCGGGCGTTAAAGCACATACTCACTTAAAGTTTTGCGTGATTGCTGATGATAAACTATAACTGTGCACATATAAAAGCAATGAATAAGCTAAGGGATAACTGAGGCAAAGATGCTTCGACCACTTCAGGATTGTATTGATTGAAATGTGCGAGGTGGTGTATTTTTTCCAAATTCGCCCCTCATTTGTAGGATTTCTGTGCATTAATACGCCATGTAGTGCTCT